TTGATGGGAAAAAAAGGGCTGGCGCCGCGTCAAATCTGAGAATGGGTCGTTCCTACTTCTTGAGGAAGGGTCACAGGATCTCGCCATTTAACCTAATTTCTCATGATGGAAAAAATAGTGATTGTTTAATATATTTTTATATGTTGTAATTTTTTATTTTCTTAAAATTTTAATTTTGTGTTGATATCGATTATTATCTTTCTACATCTATTTATTTTTTGAGTTGTTTGTAGAGTTTTGAAATGATTATTATGTTTGAACTATATTGAATGCTCTAAAAAATTTTTTGTGGGGGTAAGGTCAAAGAGATAGCTCATCCCGTTTCGCACGTGCCCTTACTTCCTTACTGCGAAGGAGTCGGGCGCGCAAAGGGGCCCTAACTGATTATCGGCGGAAATATCATCAGAAAGAAAGATTGCCGGTGAATGGTGAATGCAGTGTTGCAAGGGCGACTTTTGAAGTCCCCCTATTCATAACTGCTATTTTTCGCCGAGTTAGTTTTTTCCAGTCTGTAAGCGTTATTGCGGATGTACAAAGTCGAGGATGAAGCGGGAAGGTGTCGCATTCGCAAAGGGTTGGTAAAATCTGTAGGCACTGTTGGGCTAGATGGGTGGAGGAGGGGGGCTGTTTGCACTTTTGCTGCTTCCTATTGTCGTGTTCATAGTTTCCAAAAGCAAAATGCCGCTCCAGCGCCCGAACAACGCCTAGCCAAGAGGTCTCTGATATGGAATCCTGGCAGCTCCCAATAAAGATTTCACCGCGAAGAGCACTTCACCCTTCTGTGCCTCTAGTCGATGTTTGCAGGCTACGTTGATGCAACTTCCCAGTGTTTCCCATGGTTTGACGACGGCTCTTATACTTAGACATGAATGAACGAACATTGGACTCTTGGAGAAAATCTAAATATAAGCAGACCCCTGGAGCCAAATGTCGGACTGTCCCCCGTTCGCGCCAACCAAGGGTTTCATCTTTCCGGGCTCAGTTGATTACTAGCAGGCTCGTAAAAGTAGCGGACTGTTCACCGGCGGGCCGTCAAAGTCATTCGTGCTGTTAGAAAAATCGTACTGTTAAACTCCAGTATGATTTTAGATGGGAGTGGCGTGGGCTTTTGGAAGATCAAGAATTTCTCGGGAACTTTATCTCTCTATGCTTCCTGTTGAGAATCGTAAGCTCTTTACTGGTTCTAGTGATGTGAGTGAGTAACCATTTAGCCGGTAACCATGCCAGTAGTATTTGTTTTACCCCCTCGGTGTGATAGGTCTAGGGTTTTAGGGTTGGCGGAATAAGGAATGGTCCGTCTGAGGAAGGGGCGAAACCATTCATCTGTGTTTTGGAGTGTTTCCTTTTCCCTAGGATTTTCTTCTTTTCTAGTTGAAAGAGGGTTTTCTTTGAAGATGGTTCTCTTAAGGGGTGATTTATGGAAGGTAGTAGAGGGGGCTATTCATTCGCCTGTAGATCTATGGTTCATCTGACACTCATACTAGATGAATAGGATTCATTTGAAACCAAAACCAGGAACTCATATAAAAAGAACATGTCTAGACTGGAGCTGTCTAGACAGTTCAGCGTTACGTCAGCTTCGCGTCGGTTCTTATCAAAACGGGGGTTGCCTTCTTTTCAGAGATTTTCCAGTCGCAATCGTTTCCCTTGGATCTTCTGAACAGTATCGATTGTTCTGGTATGTATTGGTTGGTCGTGGGAGAACTGTCATTTATAAGTTCTGCAGTAAAAACGGTACAGGTCTCCACGGGGGGCATCTGCAGTGAATAAAGAGGACCAACAGAATGGCCCCACCAAGCAAAACTGCGCCAGATATTTTATAGCCTTTATTTAAGGGGATGCGGATCAGGTGAGCCAGGCCTTCCATACAAGGCGCCTTACCTATCTGGTGACGAGATATGCCAACTGTCCCATTACCTGTATCATTTGGACTGCCATTGATCGAGTTGGCAAAGTGGGCGTCAGTAATATCTATATTCGTCCCTGCATTGTGCTATAATTGCCTAGTCTGTTCTTTCGTGCTTTGGGTGGGCGGGGGGGGGACGGGGAGGAAGATGAATATCAGCATTCGTTCAGAGCTTCCACGAAGAAGGGCCTGTATCTAACGAGTGGAGGTGTTCTTTCTATATATGGCCGGACACACGGTTTCTCTTGTCTTCCAGCTCTTCTTGCTGTCCTCTCGTCCTTTCTCTCTGGTCCTTGTGATCCTATTCAGGGTGCCTCCCCTTTTTTGTCTTTTTTTTGCACCCCAAATTAAAAAAACCGTAGTCGCAGGATGTGTTTTCAATACATGCAGTGAAATATTGATCTGACACTTTACTCTCCGTCTTTTGCAAAATTGTAATCATGGCACTACAGTTCACTTCCTGATCATCAAGGTCGCGGACGAGAAAAGGTTCAGAAAAACAATTGTATGGCTGGGTCCCAGACTGAGTTGATCCAGACAAAAACGTGCGAATTTTTAAAATCCATGGGAATCTAAAGAAGGGCCGCTCGAATTCGCAATTTTTCAGGGTTACTGCCGCAGATGGGTGATTTATGGGCAGGGCACGTCCTGTTGCAGGGGGAAATTTCTGCAAAATATGGCAGGGCAGGGCACATCCTGTCGCAGGGGGGAAAATTTTTGACAATCTCACCATTCCTTTGTGTGTGACCCTGCGCCCTTTCGCCTCATCTTTACTACACTTTACTGGCTCACCTCATCACGACTTTTCCGAATTTTTTCGTCGAGTTCTTCAGGTTTTCTTCAGAGCAAAGCCGGTCGAACATGATAGAGGGAGGTGTATGATGAGACATATGCAGCGACGTGATAAGACAGGGCACAACACCATCACCTCGGGGAATGTCCTCAAAGGGGGGGGGTGTAGGTCGTACTTATCCCAGAAAATTTTTTTTTTGAGTTGATTTTCTTGGTTACCTTGACACGTGAAGGAGGCCATTAGGGGCATGCTGGGTCGGTATTTTGCCTTTAGAGAGAAATTGGCGAGATCGGTACCACTTTTTTCCGCCTTGTTGATTTTTTCGTGGTTTTCACCGGTTTTTTGGTTGTGTTCCGCGCTCCGCCTCCTGTCGGCTGCGATAGCAAAATTGCGGGTAAAAGTAGGAAACATCTTCGGCGAATTTCCGGGGAAAATTGAGAAGGTGATAGGAAGTTGGGAAATCTGCGAAAAGTGGTAGGTAAGATGGGGAAGCGGGGCGGGGGTCGTAATTTTTCTGAAAAATTCCCCCGCGCGAAATCTACCTTGGAAAAAACAACAAAGCCGAAACGCACAAAGGAGGAGTGTCGCATCAAGCGCCACCTCTTAAGGCGGGGATTCGTACGGACTACGACCAAAATCCCAAATTATGATGTGGCGCTGTGTGGAACGGGAAAAAAACCGCTGGCAAAATAATCACTATTGCAAAAATTTTGTAAAGACGCACGTGTCAGGAGTATCTGGGACTCACATCAACGCCCTCCCCTCTGTTAGAACTTTAGAGCGACGAAGCAGTTACGGCTCTTGCCGATATGGGCCAGCGCGTGCGAAAAAAAGATCAACTATCAAAAAAACTTCGAATACGACCCCCTTCCTCCAGCGAAATAGTACGTTCTCACCGGGGATTCCCAGCTTGCAGTAACTCTGTTCATGAAATCTAAACCATACGATACTTGAACAATGTCTGGGCAAGTGAAGTTCGGTGTGGAACGATCAGCGAACGAAAGCCACCTCCCCCCCCCTTCCCTCCCTATAGAGAAAACCCTCATGGAATCTGTCTGCGGAAATCACTTGGTAAGCAAAATGATCTGCTCAGCCCTCGCGCTCGCACAATTGTAAGTTCTCCTCAGCTTCTATATTCGCAGCGCTTTTGAACGCCTTTGTTGCCAGTCGCTCGCCATCGATCGTAACTTTCCTGCATCCCCTTCTACTTTAGGCTTAATAACAACTTTATTATGGCTTCTATGGTGTTGTATAATCCAAAATGAAATGCACCATATTGAATGATTAATTTGAAATACATCTTGCAGCGGGTAGCAACGACACAATGCTTTTGACAGAATGTTTTTTGGTGCGTAATCGCTGCAAGGATTTGATTTTTGGCAGAGTTGAAAATTCATTTTTCGCCTCCACTTTGACGAAGTTGACTTGCATCGATTATATGGAGCCAAGGCGAGAGGGGGTAACTAAGAGGCTGCCGGCTGTTGCTTCTCCGCTCTGAGGAGAAGAGACGCATTAGATGAACGTTAGGATGTTGTTTACCCTAACTAATCTTTGAGCGCGCATATTTATATCACAAAAATGTTTCTAATGAGTATTTCAATTCCAATTTCAAGCAAGGAGTGACTGTGCAGAAGAAACACTGAGCGCGATGGGGGGGGGTTGGCGAGAGAGTAGACATTGAAGGTCAAATCCGCTATTCTTTGTGCAACACTTCTAGTGGGCGTTCACCACCACAAGGGGGTGTGGACAGTCATAAATCACAAGCCTTTGACATCCTTGATACGTGTTTTCGTAAGAACAATGTGATGAATACCCACTAAGAACCTCAATAAAAGCTTTCTGTGTTGTCGGCAGTGTAGCGGGTAAGTATGCCTGACTCATCGGCACAATTACAGCTTCCAATTTTTCAGATGTCCAACATTTTGCCTTGACCTACATTTTTGCAATATTTTTTCAAACATTTTTTCGGTGACTGTGCAACTTTTCCTGCTTGGAGATGTGGAGACTTATGGCGTGAATTTTCAGATTATGCACTTGCGAGATGACGACGATACTAGCCAGTGTAACTCGAGAAATTCTAACGGATCACGACACACTCACAGCAATCATGCCCGAAATGATACATCGAAACGATTTACACCAGGTTTGTTGATTTTTTTTGTGACTGCATTTTGAAACTGAGCACTACCGAAAATGAAATGGAACCAGGGCTTTTCGTACTTCAGGGATAACCGGCAAGGGGGGGGGGGTATTTGTCGCTGGAGGGGTATCTGTTCCTGTGAGGAATGTTTTAGGGTTTTGACTTTTCTCAGGTTCCCCTGTTTCAGCCGCAATGTATGAAGAATTTTTGGAAAGAAAAAAACCACGGAGAAAGTGCAGGATGGTAGGAAGCTGGTAGAACTCAAGGATATGTAGGTCGGATGAGTAGTGCGGGGGGAGGGGGGATCGTACCAGAAGAGGAAGCTTTGAAAAAGGTCGTATCTTGCAAAATATCCCCTAACGGCTGGACGTACCCTGAATGAAAGACGCTACCGCTCAAAGTTGTCCACAACATTAATTTCAATTTTTTTTCATTGAGATTTTATATGTTCCGGGTTCCATTCATTATTAGCATGTCATTTAGGCGATCCTTGTGTAGTTTGCGGAGATGCCGCATCTGGAATCCATTACGCCGTGGCAGCATGTAATGGTTGCAAGACATTCTTCAGAAGAGTCGTTCTAGAGGTAGGTAGGCTCTCTATGAGCTGGTCTCTTGTTGTTGAAGCTACAATTTTTTTTCTATTATATTTCCAAGTTTTTTGTTGTTATGGCGTAAGGTTTGCTTTTTGATAAGTCAATCGCATACTGGCTGAAATTGGTACTACTAGTTTTCTAGCAGCTTTTTTTCTCCGAGGGCCATCTGGCTTGGAATCTCTTCCTAGGGGTAGTTTCACCTTCTGGGCATAAAATCACATCCACTTGGCACGTAGCCGTCTAGTTCCCGCACAAGAGGTGCCGACTCCAAAATGTCACTTGGCTGAGAACTTGTCCCAGGGGTACTTTGACTTTCTGATTATGAATATCGCGCTTGCTCAGCTTGAGGCCACCTGGTGCCACTATTAGTGCTACGAGACGACATGCCTGTGTTGACGCTGATGCGTCTAGCAGGGACTACAGACCATTTCGTGCCTAGCGAGCTGTTAGGACATTTAGGGAATTACGACGAGACGAAACAGTATCCTTTCTGATCGTCCGCGATGGTGATCGATCCCTTTGCTTAAGAAGGCCAAGATTTTTCTTCCGAGATGAATTTTGCCAAAACTTCGGAGTAGTTTGAATTTCGAACACGAACATCAAATCCATTTGAAGCGAAAATATTTAGCGTCCGTGTCACGTGCACTCCAAGCAGTTTCAATGTCTTTGCCTGTAGCGAGCCTACCACAGGAGCTTTCTTTCGGTCCCAGCGGGACGTTCATGTCCAGGGATCAATCAAAACATCTGTGGGGACAAGTTTTGAACGGGTTCGGTGATTTGAGGTGTTTTGGCACCGGAGCCTTTGGCGCGGGCGCAAAGTGGTTTCAGGCGAGCGAACGTGGTATTCGTATTCAAGGGGCCCGAAGTACTCGCGGGGCAAAATCTTATATTGGCAAGAATTTCAATCAAAATGTGGACGGAATTTTCATGAGTGGGTTAGAAAGGGTAAGTAGTGCCTAAAATCTTCTGAACAGATACATCTGTTTTGCTGAAATTTTTGCACGTGCAGAAGACAAAATCGTCGCACTTCAGCCTGGTGGGGGTGCTAAGTGGTTCTCAGCGAGCCT